CCCCAAAACCCCAAAACCCCAAAACCCCAAAACCCCTAAATATTGTATTTAAATTGAATAAGAAGTTATCTAAATGGAACGAACAGTAATATTTTGGCTGAATGAATACCTATAGGAACAGGATTTCAAAGGTATTTTGGATGTTAAAGACCAGCTTGAGAATTTGGGTGAATTTAGTATAAAATTTGACCTGAAGAAAGGAAAATGGGGGTATGAGAGATTATAGATGGAGAAATGAGGGATTTTAGAGAAAATGAATTTGGAGTGGAGGAGAATATTGAGAGGATTTTTCAGGGTAAGTAAATTATGAGGTTTTGTGATTGTTTTTGGTAGAATCTGAGCAAGAAATTGGAGTTGGAAATCAAAATTGGTATATGGGTGATGATTTGGGTAAGTTTTTGGAAATATTTTTTTAGAGAAAATTGATAAGTTATTTGAAGATTCACCAAAAGAAGTTAATTCTAAGAATTTTGAGTGAGATTATGAAGCAAGAACCCATTTTCTCTCGCAAGGTAAATCAGTAGAAGACTTATTATTCCCATCTGGGTCCTTTGCTTATCAGAAAAACTTTGCGCTGCAGAGTCAAGAAAATTTACAAATTCCTGCTCAGAGGTATAATTACAGCGAAAACTGGGCAGATAATAATTCGAGAAGCCAGAAATCGTTGAAAACTATACATAATGATCCTATCCCTTTCACGTACACTCAGGTATCAGCTTCTTTTATTTTAGGTTCAGGATCCTGCTGTTAGAGCCACGATATCCTCCAGATCACCTTCTGAAGAATTAGTGCCTAATTCTAGACAAAATGCACAGAATTATCAAACTTCAGAGTCTTCAAAGAAAGTCAAGGATATTAGAACTAAAAGACACAGAAGGCTTATCGACCCTGGTAAGAAAAAGCTAGAAAAAGAAGGACAAATACTAGCAGTTGTTGAGTTTAAGAACGTAATTTAGCTTATTTAAAGTGTAGTTTGATGCATAAAAAAATACGAATTATTTTTGTTTAAGACATCTCTTTTTATCATTTACTACTTCCATCAAAATAAAGCATATTCAAAATTACTTTAAATTTATCAAAAATTACATTTCCAAAAAGCATATTACCTAAAATCCAACTTCCTACTCTTTCCCTATAACCTCTGTTCTCTAATCCTTCGTTTAAATAGATCTTGACCCATTCAATGCTTCTGTACCAGACGAGCCTACATGAATACCCTATATGATTCCTCAGATGACTCCCCACCATAAGAGGTACGTCTTATTTTATCTCTTGTAGATATCTTGATCTCAGACCTCCGAGAGGGTACCGGACTAGATGGTAAATTCATTTTCAATCTTAAGGTAAAATAAGGGGTTTTGGGGTTTTGGGGTTTTGGGG